CCATTGGATAAAGCGGTAACCATATATTGAACTATTTCTGGTAATTGTGTTAATTGTGAACTGCTGTGCCAAATACTTAGGGTCAGGAGTGACTACTTTATATTGCTCTCACCTAGTCTTGTCTCCACTCTAATCTCAAGCCCACATCAAACACACACAGCTCTGTGACTCACAGCTTCAGTTTCAAGCTAGAATCTCCTCTTGAGGTTGCTGCTACCCTAACCCAGACAAGGATTCCCCAGGTGATGGAAATGTTGAAAGGAAGGTCTGAAGAAAGGTCTAGCTTTCCACTTTGAAAAAAGCAGCTGCTGAAAACCCAACTCTGCAATGACATGAAGCTAGCTGCCTTGAGATGGAATGTGATCAATAGCAATTGGTTTGGTGATCACAGATCAATTAAGTCAGAATGTCCAAGTGTGGACTGGATGTCACAATCAAAACACTCATCAAACTCACTGCCTTTGAACAGGAACCAACGCATAGCTGACCCTGTAGTGGACTTTTGGGAGGCTGAAGATCGCACAGGAGGAGATTGCCCATCTTGGTCCCATGGAGCCGCTGGTAGATTGCAACCACCAGAGAGATGCTATGGGATCAATGCCATAGAGTTGTGGTGTTAGAGAAGAGCCCTGAATACCCTATGGACTGCCAAAAAACCAAGCACATATGGCTTGGAGAAAGTGCAGTCCAAGTGCTCCTTAGAGGCAAGGATCGCAAAGCTTCATTTCATCTTCATATTTGAGCATGTTCTTGGAAAGGGACATCATGCTTGGATCAAAGAAAGAAAGAAAGGCCCTCAAGGAGATGAATTGACATAGTGACTGTAGCAGTGGATTCAAGTGTGTCAGAAATGATGAGGATTGCGCAGGATAGGACAGAGTTCAGATCTGTTGCTAAGAGAGCCGCTATGTTCACTTGATGGCATCTAACAACAATAGCAGCCAGTGTTTTTAGTATTTTTTTATATTTTATTATTTTTTGTGTGTGTGCCATCAAATCAGATCTGACTGGTACGGGAGGAGCTTGCCCCTCCTTCTCCAGCACAGCATCTGGTGGATTCGAACCGCGTACCTCTGGGATTGCAGTGCAGCTTCTTGCCACTAGGCCACCAGAGCTCCCTAACAGCCAGCGTTGTTGGTTGTTTATTGTTTTTTTTGTAATTTAAATTTATTATTAATTTCAGTAAAAATTTACAGAGACTTTGGATTTCCATTCATTCATTGTTGCACTTTTCTCCCCTCCCAACCCTCCTCCCTAGTACACTACCCTCTTGGAAAAGTAAAAGACAAATTCTTTCATTGTTTTACAAACCCTCCCCCAGGTCCACTCCACTATGTAGCCTTCATTCTAGACTCCTGTCATGACAAAAATACCTAATCACATAACACTTTCAAACATTTTTCTCCCTCATCTGTTTCAACGCAGTATACATTATTGAATCCATCTTTCTCAGTCTCTCCCCAACCTCAAGGTCAGTTCTGTTTTACAATAGTGGCACCATTCAGCATTTGTCCTTTTGTGACTGAGATACTTCACTCAGCATAATGTCCTCCAGAGTCACACATTTTGAATAATATTGCATGAGTTCCTTGTTTTTCAATGCAGCATAGTATTCCATTGTGTGAATATACCATAGCTTCTCTATCCATTCATTTTTTGATGGGCATTTAGGTTGTTTCGAACTCCCTGCTATTGTGAACAAAGCCGCGATAAACATGGGTGTGCATATATCTGCTTGGATGTCATTTATGGTCTCTTTGGCATATATTCCCAGTAGTGGAATTGCTGGGTCAAATGGTATCTCTATTTGCAACTTTTTGAGAAAGCGCCATACTGCTTTCCACAGGGGTTGCACCATTTTACACTCCCACCAACAGTGAATCAGGGTTCCAGTTTCTCCACAACCTCGCCAGCATTTGTTGCTTGCTGTTCTGTTAAATTTTGCTATTCTGACTGGGGTGAGATGATATCTCATAGTTGTCTTGATCTGCATCTCTCTTAGGGCTAGGGATTTTGAGCATTTCTTCATGTGCTTGTTAGCCATCTGAATGTCTTCTTTGGTGAAGTGTCTGTTCATATCCTGTGCCCATTTTTCTATTGGATTATTTACCTTTATCTTGTTGTGGTGACAACCAGTGTTTTTAAGGTACAACCAGAATTGTGAGCCAGTGTGTGAGGCCAATTTACTATGTTTGTAGTGTCTCTCTTTTCCAGATACCAGCACTGCAGTAAATGGCAGAGTGATGGGGTGGGATGGTACTGTTTGCAACTAGAGGTAGCTATCTGGGGGGCTCTGGGCCTTTTGGGTTGTGAAGGCTGTTGGAATCAATGTCTTGGCACACCTGCGATCCATCTGGAGCCAAGGTCTTAGCAGTTGGAAAGCGTCAATTTATTGTACGTGTTTGTGTACCTTGGGAGGATCCCGGTATAATTTGGTTAATGATACAAGGTCTGTTTAATAGACCTTTGCTTTTACGGCTTTACTGAAGTAGAGTTAGTATGCAATAAACTGGACCTATTTAAAATATACAAGTTCATAAGTTTTGAGACATACATGCACTCTGTGACACTCATTTCACCGTCAAAATATTGACTGTGCTCATCACGCCTCATACTTCTCCTGTCTTTGTAACTGTCCCTCTTCGTGCACCTTTTTCAGGCCACACTTGTTCTACTTTCTGTCCCTGTCGATTAGTGAGGGGTTTTTTGGGAGACCTAAGACATATGCTCTTTTGCCTGTCTTCTTTACTCAAGTTAGCCGTTTTGAAATTCATTCATGTTACTAAATGTAATAATAATTTGTTCCTTTTGTTACTGAGTAGTAAGTACTGTGTGAAGGGAACTCTGGTGGCCTGTTCCTTGGGAACTGCACAGCTAACACAAAGGCAGCCAGCGCACTCTGGCAATTTGGATCCAGCACATGTTCCTTGGGAGAAAGATGAACAATCTCCTGTGTGATTTACCATCTCAGAAACTCAGAGAGGGATCAGCTATGAGTTTGTTCCAATCCAATGGCAGTAAAGTTTTTGGTGACTTTTTTTAAAATGAATTTTAGTGAAAGTTTACAGAGACTTAGGATTTCCATTCATTCATTGTTGCACTTTTCTCCCTGCACCCCTTCCCCAGTTCACTCTTCTGCTTGAAAAGTGAAAGAAAAACTCTTTCATTGTTATGCAGTCCCTCCCCCCAAGTCCACTCCATTGTGCAGCCTTCATTCTGGACTCCTGTCATGACAATAATATCTAATCACATATTCCTTTTAAACAGTTCTCTCCTTTATCTGTTTCAATGCTGTGTACTTTATTTATCATATCTTTTTCAGTCTCCTTCCAACCCCGATGTCAGTCACACGTTTCACAACAGTGGCACTATGCAATATTTGTCCTTTTTTGACTGAGATACTTCACTCTGCATAATGTCCTCCAGGGTCACCCATTTTGTGTAATATTTCATGAGTTCCTTGATTTTCAGTGCTGCAGAGTGTTCCATTGTGTGACTATACCAGAACTTCTCTATCCATTTGTTTGTTGAGGAGCACTTGGGTTGTTTCCAGCTCTTTGTTATTGCAAACAAAGCTGCAGTAAACATGGGTGTTTGGTGACTTTTAATATTAATATATGGGCACATCACAATTTATTTATCCATTCTCCTGTTGCTGGGTATTTGGGTTGCTTCCAGTTTGGGAGTCTTCAAATAAAGCTCCTATAAATACTCACATACAAATCTTTGTGAGGCAATAGCCTTTATTATTAATTTCATTTCTTGGAGAAGAGTCCAAGGGTGAAATAATGTTGTTCTTGATTGCCTTCAAGTTGAGCACGACTCATAGCGACCCTATGAACAAAAGGCGTGAAGCCTTTCTATAACTATTGACTTTTATCAAGAGTGGAATAGTTGGGTCAAATGATAGGAATATGTTTAAAAACTTGCTTGTTTTCCAAAGTGATGGTATGAGCTGTCATTTTTACCAGCAGTTCAGTGAGCGGAGGCTAAGTGTTTACATCTCTAGCAACACTGTTGTTGTTTGTACGGTTGGGAGGGATCCGACTCATAGCTGACCCTCTGGTGGATTTTCAGAGACTGTAAAACCACATAGGAGGAGATTGCTCATCTTTCTCCCACAGGACCTTTAGTGGATTGGAACCTCACACCTTTGGGTTGGCAACGTAATTCCTTACCACAGTCCAAGAGAGCTCCTTCTCTGTACACTAAGCATGGCCGCTGTTTTCTACTTCAGCCAGCCTCCTTGGTGTATAGGGAGCTCTGGGGCTGTGGTCCACAGTGGGGAGCGGTGCCTCCAAGCCAAGGCCTCACCTCGCTGATGGTGTGAATCCAATAGCCGCTCTGTGGGAGAAAGATGGGCCACCTCTTCCTCTGCAATTATGGCCTCAGAAACCCACTGGTGGGTCAGCTACACATCGGTTCTGACAGCAATGAGAGAGGGAATGTCTCTTTATTGTTAGTTACTATTGAGTTGACTTAACTCAATAGTGACCTTATGTATAATAACAGGAAACTTTGCTCAGACCTGGACTGTCTTCCTGATGTTACTATCTCCTTATCAATTATGAATATAGATTGGTCTACCAGTCCAAATTCATTATATAGACTTTGACAGCGTCTCCTGTCATATATCCTCTTTTAATCTGAAGGGCCTTTGCTTTCATCATTTTCTCTTGTCTCCTGAAAGGTACCCATACATAGATGAATGAATGGATGGATGTATTTGATACGTTGCTAAATGAAATCGTCTTGATGTCTATTTTTCTCCCCATTTCCCTGTTTCCTTCAATCTGTTGTAGGCACTAAAGAAGTAGGCCCTGGCTCTGATTCTGTCATCTACACTAAATTATGAATAAAGACCTCTGTGTGACTCAGTGACTAATTTTTTTTTTTACCTCTTGCCTGCAGGTTCTTGAGCACCATGCTCCAAGCCTTCATATCTGGCCTTGGCAGGAGGTAGAAGGCTTCCTTCCTTGTCTCCTCCACCCCTCATCCTCATCATGTCTTCGACTCAGGGCAATGGGGAACACTGGAAGTCCCTGGAGTCGGTGGGCATCAGCCGCAAAGAGCTGGCGATGGCAGAAGCCCTGCAGATGGAGTATGATGCTCTGTCCCGGCTCCGACACGACAAGGAGGAGAGTCGGGCCAAGCAGAACACAGACTCCTCTCTCATCAGCTGGGACGAGCCTGTCCTGGACTTCTACAGCAAGCCAGCAGGCAGGCTGAACGACCTCAAGCTCCTCCGCGGTCTCTCTGGCTCGGATCCCACCCTCAATTACAACTCGCTCTCCCCACAGGAAGGGCTGCCCAACCACTCTACCTCCCAGGGCTCCCAGCCTGGCCCAGATCCTTGGCCCAAAGGCTCCCTGTCTGGAGACTATCTCTATATTTTTAATGGTTCAGATGGGGGACACCCTGTGTCCCCAGGACCAGGGGTCGTGGATGACTCTTCAAAGAAACTGTCTCCACCTCCTCTACCACCCCGAGTCTCTATCTGGGACACGCCCCCTCTGCCTCCCAGAAAAGGGTCACCCTTCTCCTCTAAGACCTCCCAGCCCAACGACATCAACACATTTTCTTTGGCCGAACAACCACCAGGCAAATTGATAGGCCATCGGATCCTGGAAGAGGTTGAGCCGGGAGGTGGCGGACAGGGGTGCCTGCTCGGGTCCGTGGACTATGACGATATCAATGATGCAATTACACGACTCAACTTAAAGTCAACCTATGATACAGAGATGTTGCGGGATGCCACCAGGGGCTGGAAGGAAGGCAGGGGCCCCCTGGACTTCGGCAAGGACACTCCAGGAAAACCCGTGGCTCGGAGCAAAACTATGCCCCCTCAGGTGCCCCCTCGCACGTATGCCCCCCGATACGCCAACCGAAGGAATGGAGGAGCTGGCAAGAACCGCAGGATTTCTGCAGCTCCGGTGAGGACCTGATTTCTGTGCCTGTGCCCTTTGCCCATGGCATTCAGACAAGTCCTGGTTTCTCCACTTTGTTGTTCCAAACCCACATGCCTTGAGTGCCCACACCTTGAGTCCTCCTACATCTGTCAAGGAGCCCTGATGGCAATGGTTAGACTCACAGCTGGTAACCAAAAGGTGGATGACTTGAACTTAGCAGCTGCAGCACACTAGAGAACTGTGGTGGCAGTCAGCTTCCATCACCCTTACCGGGCAGTTCAACTCTGTCTGTAAGAGGACTGTGAGCTGGCATCAACAACAGTGGGAGTTTTTGGTGTGTTTTTTAAAAAGTTTTCTATATCCTCCATTGGGACTATGGAGCCTGATTGGGGAGAGGCCCAAGATAGGCTTGGAGGAAGGGAGGAGGCAAAGAGGCTTGAGACGTGGAGCCCCCCTTCTGTTGTATGCGCCCACTTCATGACCTGGGGCCTGACATGGGGGGGTGGGAGACTTATTGTTGATGTTGTGTGGTGTTGAGGATTTCTCCTGCTTCTGCTTTCTTAGTCCCTGCTCTGCCATACGCCCCTGTCCAACAGTGAGGGTTCACCACACTAGCCCCTCATCCACTGCCCACTGAGTCCCTGTCGCTGGTGCGGAAGCCTGTAACAGCCCCGCCTGACCACCCTGCCTGACAGCCATTGTTACACTATCGAGTGATTGGTCCAGGCTACACACAGCTTTGAATAGCAGAGCCAGCATTCAACTGGTCCATCTTGTTCCAAAAGCCACCCTCTTTTTCCAAAATCCACCCTCTTTTCACAATGAAAGTAACTGGAAAAAATAATACAGTGAAAAAGAAACACCTCCGCTCCATCAACACTTTAGTATTAGACAACATAGTGTCTGCATAGACACACTGGCTGGATGCAAGGGTAGCTTTGATAGTACTGGTTTTAAAACATGTGTCAGCAGTATTTCCATGATCTAACGATCAAGATCTAAAGTGTTTCACCTTTGACCCCGCAGCTCTGACCTCGGAAGGAGAGCAGAGACACCTCCACAGCTGATTTCTCTCGTACCTTGGGATGCCAGCTAATCCCACCCTCATTTCTTCCTTCCATTGTCTCGGGGACACTGGGGCTTTCCCACCATCCAGCTCTTGGGATCTTTCCCTCCTCTCTGGGAAGAGCCCCACAGCCCTTCCTTCTTTCACTTCTGCTAGGAGAGTCCCCCTAAAAGCAGACTCAGCCCCCAAGCTTGGAGCTCAGGGCTTTTTAAAGGCCCTGCCTGGAGAGGTGGAGCTGCTCCCTCTATTTATAGGGCCTGGGAGAGTCCGGTTCCCAGCTCGAGGTCCTCGCACAGAGCTGGGCCTGCTCACCAGGTCAGGCCACTCCGGTAGGTGGTCACCGCTGCCACTCCCTCCTTCCTGCCTCCCTCACAACCCTACCCTTCCCCCAGCCCCTGTGTGTCATCCCTGTGCTCAGAGGAATTCTCAGCGTCTCCTTGAAGCAGCTAGGGCAGAGCCACAGGCTCTTACCCCTTCTTGGGGGGAAATGGAGTCTTGGTCCTTACCACTTCAGGTGGATACAGGGGCTCAGCCCACTAGGAGGGGTAACTCCTTGAGCCCTCTGCCCATACCACCACCCCGCCTTCACCGGGCTTCCAGCCGGAGGGATCCTCCATATCCCAGGCCTACAGAGCCAGCTCTGGAAATGGCTGGTTCCAAATGTCAGGCCTGTACCCCTGCTGCCAGCCTCTGCCCGGCAGACCCCCCAAGCCAGCATCGGGCGATGCCACCAGGGCCTGCCAGCCAGGCAAACGTAAGTGGCTTTTGTTTTCTTATGGTGCCAGGGAGTGGTACTGAAAGGGCATGGAAATGGCCTTCAGTAGCCACTGTGTTCTCTGTCCCCTGCCTTCCCCTCCTCCCTCTCCCTTTCTCTCTCTCTCTTTCTGTGTCTTACTTTTGTGGGTTAAATGCTGACAGTGGTGCTATTGTCTGGACAGGGCCATGGGCATGAACTTGGCAGAGCCAGGGCCTCACATGCCAACTCCCCCCACTGCCCCCTCCCCTGGCACACTCAGGGGAGCACGGCACGCAGGAAAGGGTCACCCAGAGGAAGCAGTCTGGATGCTCGGATGAGGAAGTCACCAGCTCCCCTGGGTGCAGTGGGGACTGAGAATAGCAGGTGGGGAGGGTGAGAGGTGGAGCTGTTGGTCTCCCCAAGAAGCAGCTGTTGGCCCCACCACCTTGGCCACATGCAGTCAAGCAGGGGACTCCATCTGACTGTGGGCCTGTCCTCCGAGTGGCCTCCCGAGTGGCCTCCCTGTCACGCTCCAGCTCTCCCCTTGGCTTCCTCTCCCCCAGGGCAGCCTGCAGGCCTCATTAGAGGGCTTCTTTAGAACCTTTCAAGTGGCTGGAAACAGCTCTAGGGTGGGAGTGCCTTTGCAAGCCAGCCTGAGATAATTCCCACGACCACACACATGTTCTCTGGGCGGAAGTGAGGCCAAATAAGCAGATGTCCTGGCTTTCCAGCTGTTCTGAGCCAGAAGCCACAGGAGCCTGGAGTCCCCAGGCCTGGTACCAGGCTCTCCCCTGCCCAGACAGCTGCTTTGACACCTTCTTCCTCAAATAGCATCCACTGAGGAGGCATGTGTGTCTGAGTCATCTCCGTCCATGGGCTCTGGGGTGCTTGGCTCTGGGTCGCTGGAGCTGCTGTGGATGCTCAGAAGTGTATCCAGGCCAGGCATCCCTGGACACCAAGTGGCAGGCTTTCACTGTGGCCTACTTGATGGGACAGTACAAACAGCTGTCTGCTCAGTACACCCTCAGGCCCCTAAGAGCATCCCCTAGAAAGCCCAACAGCACCCAGCACCACTGAAATGTTCAGTTTATCAGGTCATCTCCACTGGAGAAGGATTTGGCCACATTCTTATCTCACCAAAAGCTTCAGCTGGTTTTTCAAACTTGACTTTAGTCTCTGAGAACCACAGATAAGCACATTTACTCATAACTTCTCTCACTGGCTGTTGGATGCCTGGTAAACCTTTTTATCTGTAGTTAAAGGATTCAGAGTCGTCCAGGGGAAGGGATGGAGTGAGAGAAAGGGTACCAAGACAACCTCTCTTTTCTTAAAGGTGAGCTCGCGGCCCCGCACCGTCGCCAACGGGTATGAGCTGTTTGAGGTCTCCGAGGAGAGAGATGAGGAAGTTGCTGCATTTTGCCACATGCTGGATGTGTGAGCATTAAAGAATTGGTTCAGGAGGGTGGTTGGGGATGGGGAGGGCACTGTCACCCATTTCAGAACTTTAAGAAGAGTTATATTTAATCAACCTCAGTTTATAGCTATGGGATGTGTCCCGCAACGGTTGTGTTACAGGTATTTTGAGATTCCAGTTGTTGTTATGTGCCGTTAAGTCACTTGCAACTCATAGCAACCCTATGTACCAAAGCTCTGAACCCTGCTCTATCCTGAACCAATAGGCTCTGACATAGCTACCCTCATTACCCCAGTCACTGTGTCAATCCATCTCATCCAGGGTCTTCCTCTCCTGCACTGTCCCTCCACCCTCCCAAGTATGATGTCCTTCTCCAAGGACTGTTTCCTCCTTGCAACATTTCCAAAGTATGTCAGACGAAGCCCCAGAATCCTTGCCTCCAAGGAGCAGCCTACTTTAACCCTCTCTAGGATGAATCTGTTTGTTTTCTTGGCAGTCCACAGTACATTCAATACTCTTCTCCAGCACCACAGCTCAAAGACATCAGTTCTCCTTCTATCATCCCTAGTCATTATTCAGTTTTCTAATGCATAACAAGTAATTGCGGAGACCATGGCCTGGATCAGGCACACCTTAGTCTCTAGAGTGACACCATTGCTCTTCAGTTATCTGGAGAGGTTCCTGAGAGCAGACTTTCCCAATGCAATTTATCTTTTGATTTTCTGGCTGCTGGTTCCCAAGAGTGTTGATTGTGGAGCCAAGCAAACTGAAGCTGTTTTTGCTTTTTTAAACAACAAAATCCAGAAAAGCAGCACCTAACAGTGTCATCATGCCCATTACTCTAAGCTCTTCCTCAGCTACCCTCAGGAGCAAATGCACTTCTGGGTGGAGCTGAGGCTGTGCTCTGGTGCTAAAAGAGAAAAATGGATTTTGAAAAATCATTCTATAACCTTGTCCTTTTAGGACTGGCTCTGCTATGTACTCTGCTGGTGCAACATTTTGTGACTATAGCAAACATCTCAGGAACATCGATTCTCCGAGGAGCTTGTCCACTGCCCCCATCCTGGCCTGCAGACCTAGGGGATCTGGTTGAACGGGGGGAATGGCCAAAGAGCAGGGGGTGTTCCAGCAGGCCTGTTTGGCGAGGCTCCTTCTCTCTGTATTCCTGCACAGACTTCGAGCTGGCTCTGACATCCAAGAGTATCCCCTCACTGGATATGTCTGGAGTGCAGTCACCCCAAGTCCAGAGCACCTCGGGAATGAGGTCAACCTGAAGGTGACCGTGTTGTGTGACAGCTTGAGGGAGCCACTCACTTTTACCTGCAACTGTAAGTTGGGGTTAGAGCATCGCTTGAAGTAGGGTGGTAGGTAAAGTAGGGTTGGGGGATTCGTGTGACCCTATGAGGCCAGGTTTCTAGGTCCACAGTTGTTGTTGTTGTTGTTGATTGCATGACTCATAGCAATCCTATGAACAAAAGGCCTGAAGCCCCCTCTACAACTAAGGACATTTATCAAAGTTCATAAGAGTCCACAGTAATTGTCCCCAACTCCACACGGTGTGCTGCTACATCTGTTGATGGTTCTGGAAAAGACTTTGCTGAGAATGGGAGGATCAGGATGGGGAGCTGAGCTTGCTGGCCCATGTGCCCATCATCGTACCCCCGACCCCCACCCCTGAGAATCAGAGGATCAGGATGGGGAGCTGAGCTCACTGGCCCGTGTGCCCTTCATCGTACCCCCTGACCCCTACTCTCCAGGTTCTTCCACCGTAGACCTGCTCATCTACCAGACGCTGTGTTACACCCGTGACGAGCTGAGGGATGTGGATGTGGGTGACTTTGTGCTGAAACCCTGTGGGCTGGAGGAGTTCCTGCAGAAGTGAGTGCATTGGTGGGGGCAGGAATCGTGCTGCCTTCTGGGTGGAGGAGCCGAGGAAGGTTGAGGGTCTGGGACTGGGCTCTGGGCTGGCAGCTGCACCTTCATCCGCAGCTGAGATCCCCGCTTTCTGGACACACTCTGAGCCACATCATCAACTCTTTCTCCAGGAGCTCTGCCTTCCAGCAGGTTGGCCAGATTCTTGAGCCAAATCTGCTGTGGAAGGAACTTGGAGCTGGGATTAGGCAGAGACTGTGGGTCACGTCTCCTTCTAAACTGCTGCGTGTGGAAAGACGTGTGTATGAGGGGGAAAGAACTGTGGGGTTGTTTCTCCTCTAAATGTTCTGTGACATCTTTATAGAAGTAGAACCAGGCAGAAGTGCCCTTGGGGATTCTAGGGGAGAAGTAACAGTTGTTCTCTTTTCCTCCTTCCGCTGCCAACAAGCCTTTTCCCCTCTTGCTGACGTATGCAGCTGGGTCACCTCCTCACCAGAGGCTCACCTCCCCATTCAGTACCTTCCATACAAGCAGCCTCCCTGGAGAGTGGGGTGCATCAGCAGAGGCAATCCCGTTCACACTCTGTTGGGTCTGTGCAGGAGATGGCAAGGGGCAGAATAAGAGGTGAATGACCCACAGATGGCACAGACTGGACAGTGGGCTGCCTATGCAGCTGGCAGGAGGGTAGCAGGTAGATAAGGAGAAGAATCTTCCTCTGTCACAAACTGCAGTTTGGCTATTACCTACCAGCTCTGGCCCTGGAGAAAACAGGATGGGGGGGGGGGGGCGGGGTGGAGGCAGCCTGGGTCTCCCTTAGGAGGGCCTGTAAGTGCTACCCCTTGGGTTTTCTCTCACTTCCAGGTGTGAAAGTGAGGGTGGTGGATCTGTGTCTGTAGCATTGGCTGGAGGTCAGGATTCTTCAAGGTCTGGATTCTTTGTGCCTCAGCTGAGCTGGTCATTCTTAGGGGTACTGTGAGGATCTCTCTGGCCTCTGTGTTCTTGTCTAGAAAGCTGAGGGGCTGGGGCAGGGGGAGCTTCTGGCAGAACTCGGTGCTGTTCAGAGGGAGTCCCTTAGAAGGGCTCCTCTGTTCACACTTGGAGGGCTAGGTGCAGGTGTCAGCGCTGGCTTGCTCCTGCCGGGTGGTGAAACTGCCCCTTCAGTTAATCCTGACTAGTACAATTAATGAACCAATGAACAGTGCATATTAGCACTAAAGTGTCTGGCCAAAGAAGAATGCATGGGAATCTGGATCAGCAAGATGACCATTTCCCTTCCTTCTCCCCTATTCCCGAGACCAGGGAGCCTCTGAATATGGGGGTAGCCTGTTGGTGGGTAACTCAGCAGGTTCTTGACTTCTTGCCAAGACTCAGGTGGAATGTTCTGAGTGTCGAGGAATAGGATGGTCTTTGGCTATGTCCACATACCTGATTGTGCAGGAGGAGAACTCTCCAAAGAAGGTCAAGTGAAAAAAAAAAGACAGAAGGTCAAGTGAGTTTCCAGGGGACTGGTGCCCCCTGACTCCCAGTGTTCCCCACCACCCCATCCCTTTCTGAGGCCTGTCTCCGCCCTCCCTCTCTTAAAAAGCTCAGTGCTGGTTCCCAGCCCCAGTCTCTTTGAGGTGCAAACTGTTAAACACTTGACTAGTACCTGAAAGGTTGGTAGTTTAGACTCACCCAGAGGCAGGAATTGAAAAGGCAAGTGGTTTGTTTTTATTTTGGTTCCTAGCCAAGCCCCCAGGGCACTGAGCACAGCCTGCTGCCCAAGGGTGGGGTGGAAAGATCCTGAAGGAGGGAGGACCTGGACTCAGAGCTCTACCCTTGCCTAGCTGTTGTTTGTATTGACTCATAGCTGACCCTCCAGTGGGTTTTCAGGCCTGTAAGGTGCTCAAGTGGAGATTGCCCGTCTTTCTCCCATGGTTGGCAGGGCAACTCCTTATCCGCTAGGCCACCAGAGCTCCCTCTGCCTAGTAGGAGGGGCTGATACTAAGAAGAAAGCTGCAGGCCTGGGTGTAGGCTGTTCTCTGATAAGAACCTTGAGACAGTCCCTGGGGAGGGCTGGGTTTCCTGCCGCCTCCCCCACCCCTTCCCCACTCTTCCTTCCTCCTAGGACACTCCCACAAACCTGGCCTCAGTGGGGTTTAGCCTCTTCACCCCAGGGTTTGGCTACAGCTCAGTCTCAGCAGATTGGGGCTACAATGGGAGTTCTTCCCCCTGCCCCCCATCAGGATGTACAGAATCCCCTAAATCTTACCTGGACCTGGACTGGACTCTGGCCCTGGAACCTCCATCCTCATCGCTATGTCCCCTTTGCTCTGCTCCATTCCTTTCTATATCTGGCCCACATTCCCAGCTTGGCTGAGGAAGGAAGTCTCTTTCCGGCTTCTGTTACCCAGCTGTTGGGACGCAGCCAGCTTAAAGTGCCAGCTCGGGGCAGGACTCCCACTCTGCCCCTTCTCTTGAGCTTCCTTTCTGACTAAGGTGTGATGCAGGGGGAGACTGAGTCACAGAAAGCCGCCTGCACCACCATCCGCTTTTCTGGGGTGGGGGATGTCCCACATGTGGGTACCTGAGCAGTGGGGAGGTACGCAGGTGGGCGTTTCTCAGAAAGTCTGTGGAGGTTTGTGTGGTTATTCCCCATCAGGCAGGGCCCTGGGATGTGCAGCAGAACCTGGATGAGCCTGGCGATAGCAAAGCTGGAATCTTGATTGGGTCGCTTTGTGTGGCCCCAGTACCCTGTTTGTCCTGATGAGGAGCGGGAAACTTAGGACCACGGTGAGAAAGGGTGCCAGGAGTGAGCCCAGGATACCTCTCGTCATGTCCACTCGTGGTTGTTACATACAGAAAAGCCAAGAGAATAGGGTTTAAACAGCTTCCCCTTGGTTGCCAAGTCCTCTGTTCTCCATTCTCTTGAGCAGCTCCCACTGCTTGGGGATAATCAGTGATAGAAGTAATGAAAAGCAGGGAGTAGGGTCAGGTGTAGATATTTGTACAAATCAAAGGTAAAGTGTATTTGGTGGCTTTTGTTTAAGAAGATCACTCTTGGCTGCTTCTCCCAAGCACTGCTGTGACATTTCCCAGGAGCTCAGGTACCACCTTCTCACCTCTGCTGTGGCCCGGCTTTCCTCCCAAGGCTTAGGTCTGCATCTCCCTTGCCACTGAGTCCCTGCGATGCTAATGGTCGTGTCCTTTTATGCCATCAGCAAGCATGCCTTGGGCAGCCACGAGTATATTCAGTACTGCCGCAAGTTTGACATCGACATCCGGCTGCAGCTGATGGAGCGGAAGGCTGTCCGCAGCGACTTGGCCCGGACGGTTCGTGAACGGGAGGCAGCACGGAGCTGGAGGGGCGGAGGGTGACGTGGAGCGTGTTGGGTGATGGAGGTAGGCGCTCTGGGTTGAGGGAAGGCACTAGCCCTCTCTGAACAGGACCCTTCTTATGTAGGTGAATGATGACCAGAGCCCTTCCACCTTGAACTACCTCGTCCATTTACAAGAAAGGCCAGTGAAACAGACCATCAGCAGGTGAGAATAGGTATCATCTTAGATATAATCTGAAGAGGGCTGTGAGAGGGTTCCAGTGGGTTCTTTGCTTACTTCTGCCAGATAAGCAGATCTTATAGATATCAGGAGTAAATTCTAAAAGTTTTGTTGGGGAAGGTCCCTGCTCCAAAGCTTTTTAGCATCTCTTCCCTTTAGCATTTTGCTCTTATTCTCTGAGCAAGAGTGATTCAGCTGAAAGAGCTCTCCTTCCTTCCTTCGTTGTGGAAACAGGAAGACCTCTTTAAACCAGAATCTGATGCCTGAGCTAAGAGGGAGGGGAGGAAAGGATGGGTTCCCCACTGCACTGTGTCTTTCCTAACCTATGATATATTTTTTTTCTTCCCCCACCTCCCCAGGCAGGCCCTGAGTCTTCTGTTCGACACTTACCACAATGAGGCAGAGACCTTCCTTCTGGCTGATGTGAGTACACACCATGGAGGCAGAGCAGGCTGAGCCCCTCGCTCCACTGCCCCAGGCTTCCTAGGATCAGCCGGCACTCTAGGGCATGTGGACGAGATACTGAGGCTGTACCTAGCAGAGCCCTCCTCATCCCCTTCATTCAGGGATAAACCAAGACTCTAAGCTTTGGGGCAGCTGGTAAGTCTGTAGAAAGATGCTGTGCTGCTCTGTATAAAGTGGATCAGGAGTTGTGCCCTGATCCCTGTCTCTGGAGGAAGGTGTTCTTAAATCGAGGGCACAAAGCCTTGGTTCCCAACCACTGTACTTGAATGTACATTGAAGCGAGCAAGGATGTGAGCAACGCCCAGTGGGGCCTCAGCGGGGACATGTGCTGATGTCACAGGTAGAGAATCATCTGTAGTTACAGATTCACAAACATAAGGAGATGCCACGACTTTTACCACTTAGAGCAAGTGGCGTGGATCCCAAAAGGATTGCCCTCATCTCAAGCCTTAACCCCGTGATAAGCACTGTTTCAGGTTGTCTTTGCACTATAGAGACTTTGCACTCAAACCAATCCTTGTTTCACTGATCCATCTAACAGTGGTCATCGATTCTCCCCTCCTGGAGTGTAGCATCGTACCTAGCTCATCCCCATCCCCCTTGCCAGAATCCCTTCTCTGCAGCCCTCTGACCTTGGACATGATGAAGAGAGAGTTCCTGGAGCACTGAATGTAGGTTGGTCTCACTCCATGATGGTGGCTGTGGGAGACAGAGAAGAATAAGAATAGTCTTGGCCTTCAGCTAGTCCGTGTTCTTATTAGCATTAAGTATCTGTAGACAGAAGATAGCAATGAGTTAATCAAGGACTCTCGGAGGGCAATAGAGAAAGGGAGGGGACTGTGTAGGACTAAAGCATTCAGGGAAGGAGCCCTGGTGGCACAGCGGGCTAGCAAGTTCTCAGCTTCTAATAAAAGATCAGTTCTTTGACATTTGAGCCAACAATCCCACTACTAGGGAATCTTAGTTTCTTATAAGAACGCTAACATGAACAGATATTTGAACACCCATGTTCATAGCACCAATATATACAGTAGCAAAGAGAAGTAACCTACATATCCATAAACAGAGTGAGCTCTACTGGCTTATTGTTGTTGTGTGTCGTCAAGTCAGAACTGACCCACAGCTGACACTCCAGTGGGTTTTTGGAAGCTTTAAATCATATGGGAGGGGATTGCCCACTCCTCTTCCATGGAGCAGCTGGTTGATTTGAACTATGTACCTTTGGGATTGCAGTGCAGCTTGTTACCACTAGGCCACCAAAAGAATTGTACTGATAAGGCAAAGGTACATGCTTTGAATCCACCAGCTGGTTTATAGGAGAAAGATGAGCAGTCAACTCTTGTGCAGTTTACTTCCTCTGAAAACCTGCTCGAGGATCAGTCAGCTGTGGGTCAGTATTGTCGGTTTTGACCTGACAGTACATAACAACACCCATCAACAGATGAATGGATAAAGAAACTATGGTACATTCATACAATGGAGTACTATACAACCCTAAAAAAAACAAGAAAGAATTCATGAAGCACTGCATAATATGGCTACATTTGTAAGACATTATGCTAAATAAAATAAATCATGTCACAAAAGGACAAATACTGCATAAGACCACTGCTATAGAAAGCTAAAGAAAGGTTTATACACAAAACCATTCCTGGATGGTTCCTAGCGATGAGAAGGAAGGAAGTAGGGAGGAAAAATTAGTAAATTGATAATAGACACATATTAAGATGAGTGAAGGAAAAGGCAGTATCCAATAAGGATACTGGTCAGTGCAGCTTTATTAAAGACAGAGAAGCCAAAGAGAGGTATGTTGTTGTTGTTTTTGTTGTTTGATGCCGTCGAGTCATAGACAACTCATAGCGACCCTATGAATGAACGGCCTGAGCACAAAGAGAGGTATAGAGTTAATGGAAATGAGAATGTCATAGAGAGGAAGTGGGCAAAGTGTGATTGCATTGTGGTATTGAAATGAATGTTTTGAACAAAATGTTTATTGAGTGGCTGAATGAACAATTAATTTACTTTGTAAACTTCCTTTCATTCAAATTGCAATTTAAAAATAAACAAAAGGTTTATGGTGTGAACCCACCAGCTGCTTGACAAAAGGAAGATGTGGCACTTTGTTTCCATCAAGCTTACAGCCTTGGGAACCGTGCAAGGTGGTTCTGCTTTGCCCTAGAGAGTCATCAACAGGCTTTGGTTTAAAGCAGTCAGGGAAGAATTTTGAAGAAGGTGGGATTATATGAGTCTGTGATTTGAATTTATGTGGAATAGATGGGGAGGTGAGAGGAATCCCAAATGTAAAGACTGTAGGAACAAAATTGCAGAGGGGAGGGCAGGGGGATGGCCGTGGAACTAAGTTGTTACTCGTCTGGAACATTTAAAAACATATTTATTTTTTTTAATTCATTGTTGCACATTTTCTTCCTCTCCACCCCCATCCGCTAGCCCACCCTGCAATGCACTGCACCCCTTGTTCCAGACTCTTCACATACACAGAAAACATAATCATATATTCCTTTCGTTCAGTTCTTCCCCTCATCTGTTTAAAAGCAGTATTCATTATCAATCCACTCTTTCCCCAATCCATCCCCAGTCCCCTCGTGTTTGTCCTATGTTATAACAACATGTTACGCAGTATTTGTCCTTTTGTGACTGAGATATTTCACTCAGCGTATTGTCCTCCAGACTCCCCCATGTTGTGTAATGTTTTACGAGTTCAGTGTTTTTCATTGCTCTAGAAAGTAGTTTTTCTAACCATTTATTTGTTGATGTTCACTTGGGTTGCTTCCATTTCTTTGCTGTTGTGAATAACACAGCGATAAAACATGAGTATGCATACTTCTGGTGTGGGTTTTTTTGTAATTATTTTTTATTTTAATAATTTTAATGAACATTTATAAAGATTTTGGATTTCCATTAATTCATTGCTGTACTTCTGTCCCGCCCAGGCCCCCCAACCCCCGCATACTTCTGTTTTGAGTCATGGCTCTGGTTTCTTTAGGGTTATCTGTAAATTCTGTGATGAAAGTCACAGTAAGTTTGAGTGGAGTGGCAAGCCTCAGTATAGTCTCATTAGCCTCTTTGGGGTTCTCTAACCACACATCAAGTAGGTTTCTACTCATAATGACCCTTTAGGGCTCTGTAGGGCTTCTGAGGCGTAGATCTTTATGGGAGCAGACTGTCTCATCTTTTTCCTGTGGAGCAGCTTGTAGATTTGAACATCTGACCTTTTCTGTGTGCCTCTGGGGAAGACCCTGTGTGTATTTGCCACTAGAAGATGTCAGAAGTATGGAAGAAGGAATGGGCACCCTCCTCCTTGTAGTTAACTGCCTCTGAAAACCTGCTGGAGGGTCAGTTAGGGGTTGGTTCAGATTTGATGGCACACAACAACAACAGATGTGAAAGGACAGAGGGAAGCTAGGAACAGGAGGATGTTTTGGGAGGGAAAATAGCTGAAAGGAGAGTTCTATTGTGTGTACCTGTTCCATTTAAGTGTCTCGGGAGAGAAATACACAGATGCTTGAATATACAGCTGGGATTACACTAGTTGCTTCTGAAGGTCGTGAGCCCCTTCTCCTCCCAACCCACTGACCTGCTATTTCCGAGCCTGGGGTGGTGGGGAAGTTGGAAGCCGAGAATGCTTGAGTCACATGCTGCTTCCCACAGGGGGACTTCCCACTGAAAGCTGACAGGGTGGTCCAGTCAGTCAAGGCCATCTGCAATGCCCTCGCCGCTGTCGAGACCCCCGAGATCACCAACGCACTCAACCAGCTGCCCCCCTGCCCCTCCCGCATGCAGCCTAAAATCCAGAAGGTAAAGGGTTGGGCAATGCTATTATCGCCCCATTGAAGAGTGTGATCTTAAAGCGCTATCTGCACCTGTTTTACGATCCAATAGATTATTCACAAGACTGCTTAGGAAGTGAACGGGCCACACATGTCTCCTCTTTCAGAGAAGGAGGGTGGGATGGGGTCTGCCCCTAGAACTGATAACCATGAGTAAGTCCAGGCCCCAGAGGCTTTATTTACACCCCTGAGGCATTGCCTGGCAGTGTGCACATCCTTCAGGGGACACACACCAAAGCAAGAGGATCTCCCCAGAGCCAGCCACCGCACCTCCCTCTTTCAGGGTGACCCCACAGTGTGACTGTGTGCTGTGGCCCCAGCGCCCCCCGAATATGCTCTGCAGCAGAATGGCTGAGAGCTGGGATGTCTCATCTGGGTGGACCCTATGATCTTACTCTGCATCTGGCTCAGTCTGCCCATCACACAGCTCTGCTTCAAGCCATGACTCCATCCTCCCTGGGGACTCGCTGCTCCTCCAATTGCAGCCCAGCATGGTCCAGATGAGCGCAGCTATGAACATCTCTGCTTCCAGCTGTGGCAGCAAAGGCCATGGCCCTGAAGCTCCCCTCCCTCTTTTCCCCCCCCAATAGGATCTCAGTGTCTTGGCTGTGAGGGAAAACCGAGGTAAGGGAACGGCTGTCCGCCTGTCCAGTAGGGGTGGCTGAAAACTGCACACTGTGCCCAGATTCCTCTCACCCTGGCCCCCTTGATTTATGGGGCCGAGTCAGTGTGTGTGTGTGTGTGTGTGTGTGTGTGTGTGTGTATGTGTGTGTGCATGCGTTCTCCTATATGAGGTGTGAGCACAGCTGGGGAGCATATTTCTTTCCACCAAGTGTTCTTTCATTAATTTTACTAGTTATTCCTTGTGGTGTCCCCGGGAGATGGTGATGAGGTGGAATAAGTGTGGGGGTGGGGGCCAGCCCTGGGATCCAGATGGGAAAACTCCCACTTGGTCGGGTTGTGATTTTATCCCAGGCACCTCATAACCCCGAGGTTTCTGATTTAGAATGGGCCTCGGGGAGGGAGTGAGAAAGTCATTTTCACAAGGATTTTCCTTCATGAGTCTTTCAAGTGGAACTGGGCCCTGTGAACCAGTAACTCTGGGATTCTGAGCTGCTTAGGATAGATTTCCAGTTTGAGGGATTTCAGGAGCCAGTCAGATACTTTAAAAATTATTTTGGGAGCAAGCGTGGCATTGCTGACTTTTTATTTTGCCAAGCAATAGCATTTTAAAAAAAACTGACCTGTGTTCATTGCTACCATCATTTCCTAAAACAAAGGACGTTGTAGCACCTAGCTGCAATCAGGCAAGAAAGAACAATGTTTAAGTTGGAATAAGGATCACTTTATGGAAAGCTCATAAACACAATACTGTTGTTTTCCTCATAGATGGTGACCTTTGCCATGTGTATTAGAAAGTGATGGGCAGTGGGGAACCACTCTCCCTGGAGCTCCCACCCTAGCCAGCAACTTGGCCTCTCTAGTAGAGGGAGGCTTTGTAGCTGCCTCACTGTCTTCCTGCTGGCCTTCCTCCCACAGAGAAGGTGGTGGAAGCCCTGACCGCTGCCATCCTGGACCTGGTGGTGCTCTACTGCAACACGTTCAACGCAGACTTCCAGACGGCTGTGCACGGCAGCTGCAAGCACGACCTGGTCCAGGAGGCCTGCCACTTCTCCGGGCCGCTGTCCTTCACCGTCTACGCCACCCACCGCATCCCCATCACCTGGGCCACCAGGTGAGCTCGGGCTGGGAGGCCTCAGGGAGGGAGTGTGGTGATATTTTCTGCTGTTGAGGTCTCACATCTGCGTGTGCATGTAGCACCCCTACTGTGGTGCACCCGGGCTGAAGGGGAGGGCTGTGTGCATGATGGGGTTCAGGGGTCTTGGGCTGGGACATCATGGAATAGATAGATAGAGGGGGCTGCAGTGTCCAGACCTTTCTTGCCAGTGCTGGCTGCTTCAACGTCCCAGCCCCTCCCCATCCAAAGCCAGCTGATGGAGACATGGCGACAGATGGCCTGTTCCCAGATAGAGTGCCTGCCCCTGGGCCAGTGACTACACTACCGCACAATGGGTGGGGGTAGGGGGGGGGCAGTGACCCTTTGTCTGGGGTTCCCCAGGCCTGCAGGAGTATGGGGGGGAGGTTCATTTGGTAATCCTGGCTTCTGCAGGATCCTCAGCATCCAAAGCCAGGGGGAGTAAGTGCTGGGCCTCACCCCCATCCTTCCTTCCCCTTCCCCTCTGTCTTTGTTCCTCACTTAATGTATTCCTCTGGGCCACTGGTGGAAAACAAAGGAGGCAGCCTGGGAAACCAGGGCCTTCTCTGACCTCTTCTGTCAGGCACCTGTCACGAGCCACAGGGACCCCCATGTGCTGGCATTCATGTCAGCATATGTCGCTTTCCTCCCCCCCCTCCTCGCCTATGAGTGATTGCATGCAAGTGTGTGCACACACACCTAGGCACACCCCTGTACACACACACGTGCGTGCACACGCACACAGGAATGAAAGCACACTGTCAAACAAATACAAACATACACGCAAACACTCCTACACAAACTCATGTACATGCATACACACACACACACACATTTGATACCTGGACATGGATCTGTCTGGAGGAGGACGCAAGACTGAAGCTTAGTTGTTGTTTGTTGTTATGTGCCGTTGAATTGCCTGTGACTCATAGTAACGACCCTTTTTACAACAGCTCTAAACCCTGCTCTATCCTGTACCAATCTCACCATCTCTGACATACCTATCCCGATTACCCCAGTAACTGAATCAATCCACCTCATAGAGGGTCTTCCCCTCCTGCGCTGTCCCTCTATACTCCCAAGCATGATGTCCTTCTGCAAGGACCAGTCTCTCCTCACAACATGTCCAAAGTATGTCAGACGAAGCCTCAGAACCTTTGGCTCCAAGGAGCAGCCTGGTTTAACCCTCTCCACAATGAACCTGTTCGTTTTCTTGGCAGTCCATGGTATATTCAACAATATTCTCCAGCGCCACAGCTCAAAGGCATCAATTCTCCTCCTATCATCCATAATCATTGTCCAACTCTCTGATGCATAGCAAGTGATTGCAAAGACCATGGCTTATATCAGGTGCACCCTAGGCTCCAGACTGACATCATTACTCTTCTTTCTAACAGCAGACTTTCCCAATGTAGAAGCAGAAAAACCAGCCCAGCATGGAACCTGAACTAGGCGGAGGATTCCAAATTGGGTTGCTTTGCTCAGAAACATTTCCTTAAAACTACCTGGTTGTGCTGTCTGCTGTCCCCATGTTACAGTCCTTGGAGGCTGAGGTTTCTCCCAAGGGGAATGGAACCTGGTGTTAGAGGTACATTGGTTCTGGTGACTGAGGTGGGATTTGGGGGCTGGGTATCCTGACCTGCTCCCTTTCTGTGACAGCTATGAAGAGTTCTACCTCTCCTGCTCTCTCAGTCATGGTGGCAAGGAGCTGTGCAGCCCCCTGCAGACCAGAAGGGCCCATTTCTACAAGTACCTCTTCCATCTCATCGTCTGGGACCAGCAGTAAGCCACCCCTCTGGGCCCCATTGTTCAGGCCGCTGTAGACCTGTTAGCCCCTGTGGGTGTCCCTGGTGCCAAATAACCAGCCTGGGCCTAGGCTCACTCCTGATTAAACCAGGCTCTGTCACTAGCCCTAACCAGACAAGTTTTTCAACCACTCGAGTCCCTGTAACATCCCTGGCTCTTAAATGGGACAAGTATTTAATTTCTACCTCTCAAGTTATTTGAAGGACCCAGTGAGAGGTACTAATAAAGGCTCGTTGTAAGCCATAAAGGGCTATATAAACATACATTGATGTTTTGATCTTGCCTCCCGTAGAAAGTTTAAATAGTCCAAAGGATTATGAACTTTTCCTTGTTCCCATGAACAGAGAAGGACCACTTTCTCGTTGAAGGACCGAGAAAGGAAGCTTGGCTTGGGGACAGAATAATGGGGCCAACCTCCATGTGTAGCTCTCTTATGCTAAATCCTCTCTAGCCTCTGTACCTCCGATCCTCAAACTGTCAAATGGTACTATTTGTGTTAATTCAGAGGAAATTGTGGTGCTGGAATGACATAGGCAGGTTATAGATATGAAATCATAATCACCATTTATTAACAATAATACTGTTGCTAAACAGTCATCAGGCAAGCAAAGCAGGAAGGAAGTGGAGGGAGGGTGCCTTGAGGTGGTCTTGCAGGTGTCTGTCTGCCTGCCCTTTGCTGTGCTGTGTTCTGTCCACTCTCCAGACTGAAAACCCCCTCTTGCCTGTCTCCACCCTCACTTCCACAGACTGAGTATGGGGGTTTACCTGGTCCTCATGAGTGTAGAAAAACGGCAACTTTAATATTTGAGATGTAGGCAAGAAGTGAAAGAGTATCCCTGCATGGAGGGAGAAGGGGGAAGGCAGGATACAGAAAAATGAGAATCTGTGGAAATGCTATAGGATTGAGTCATTTTACAAATGAGCAACTGGGGAGATAGACCCTTTCTTTACTTCACAGTGTATGTAATTTCATAGGGTAACAGTGATGTCAACGTGGGGACTTCTTCAGTCTACCTTAGAGCAGGAGAAACTGCTCAGGGACAGAGAATGGCTGCAGGAAAATGGCCTGAGTTTCACCCTCTCCTTGCGGGTCTCTGACCTTAATTGCTGCCAACTGCCCTGTAAAATGGAGAATAGTGGATGGACAGAATGACATAAGTTTTACCATCACATCTATGTTCACAATAACAAAAAAGATGGAAACAACCCAAGTACTCATCAACGGATGATGAATGGACAAATAAAATATATATATACATATACACTAAAAAACAAAATGAAAAGAGCAAGGGCCACATTGGGACAGCCATAGCTGACCTCTACTAACTCCACAAAGGGAAATAGTCCCTGCCAACACTATCTACGACACAAAAACCATTTGCCAGGAGAATGTCTTCCATCCTCCTGTACCTCTTTCTACTAATTCCAGCACCAGTCTTATTGCTCTACTGGGTTCAAAATCTGTTGCAATAACTCACAGAGGACACGAAGTATACTCATGATTATGAGGTTCACTAGGCAAAAGGCAGACCAGCTAATCTTTGGCTAGACTAACACATCTATTTGCATATCCCCATGTAGAATTTGCATATTCTACATGGCAAAGTCAAAGTCAATGGCTAGATAGCCATTTTGAACGATAAATCCTTAATACCACATGACCAGAGAAGCGTTGTTACACTGTACATTGGCCCAGGTGGACCCAAACTTTGGCCTTAGGGAGTCATATTGAAGATCCCACTTGCCCAGGGCCAGTCCCAAGCTACTCAGCCCACCTATTCTGGACCCCAAGACCTGCCTCATTCCACTTCCTGTCTGAGGTCTGTGTCTCACATCCCCAGGAACGGTTTCCTGCTTGCAACCTGGTAAAAGGGGTCATCCTAGCACCCCCAGATGACTGTCCCATGTGAGCTCTCTTGGCCTTTTCCTGGTCAGGACCAGGGCTTTTGGGAACAAGTACAGTAGAGGATTTAGAGCTTAGGCTTTGCCAGTGTGAACTTGGTCTAAAACGGGCATAATACAATAAAACCTGCAAAAGCCAGAACCTGGGTTAGGTGGAAACATTTCACTGAAAGACCCAGGAAAATGAGGCTTCTTGTTGTTGTGTGCCGTTGAGTCGGAACTGACTCACAGCTCACCCTCCAGCAGGTCTTCAGAGGCAGTAAATTGCACAGGAGGAGATTACTCATCTGTATACCACAGAGTGGCTGATGGATTCAAACTGTGTGCCCTCGGGATTGTAGTACAGCTTCTCGCCTCGAGGCCACCAGTTGTTATTGTTGTTGATTGCCATGGAGTCGAGCACAACTCATAACAGCTCTATGAACAAAAGACCTAATGCCTTTCCATAACTATCATTGTTTCTACAAGTTCACAGAGTTTACAGAGGCATTTGTTTTAGGAAGTGGATGCTACTCCTGCTTTTTTTTTTCCCTTTTGGGAGCATCCTCAAACACTGTCCACATTGGGAAACCATTATTGTACTTGATACCCGAATGGCTCAAGGTTCAGCATCACAGCAAACCAGGTTACTTCAGACAGCACATTGACAAAGAGTGAGGTACAAAGTGGAAGAATGTTCCTCCAGATTTAACAGCACTACTCTCATTTAGCAGCGGTTAAGTGTTGTCAAGTTGAATAGGACCCATTGCAACCCTTGCACAGAAGACCTGAACTCTGTTCAATAACATAATTTCTTTATGTTTATAGAGTTTCCAGAGGTATCTAATTTAGGAAGTGGATGCCACTCCTACTTCCCAACCTGAATCAATCTTGAAGTTCCTCCAAACATTGTACATGATGGGCAGCAAGATCTCCCTAAAATAGACTAGAAAATGATGGGGAAATGAGGCAGTTCTGTCAAGTTCTGGCTTTCCCAGGTTTCTTGGTTATTGTAACATACCATCAAGTCAGACCCAGCCCAGAGCTGACCCTCCATCAGGTTTCAGAGGCAGTAAATTGCACAGGAGGAGATTGTCCATCCTACTCCCGTGGAGAAGCTGGTGGATTCGAACCATGTGCCTTTGAGGCTGCAGCACAGCTTGTTGCTGCTAAGTTTCACTGTAGTGGGGTCTCTTTCGTGGGATCACTGGGGGAGCAGGGAGGACCTTGTAAGTGAAGTACTTAGCACCATGTATGTACATTGTTGTTGTTGTTATTGTTGTTAGGTGCCTTTGAGTCGTAGATGACTCATAACAATCCTATGAACGAAAGGCCTGAGCATTGGTCATAGAGTATCCGAAGGCAAGCCATTTCAGAAGTGGATGCCACTCCTGCTTCCAAACTTGTTTTAATTCTGGAGCTCCACCAAACACTGTCCACCATGGGTAACCATTATCACATTTGACACATCAATGTCACAGTGTTTAGCATCACAGCAACCACGAGTTTCCTCTGTACAGCAAATGGACAGACCAGTGCTATGCTACTTAGAAGAATGTTTGACAAAAAACAATTTAAACCAGACCTGAGGGCCACAGATTAAAACCACCCACCTTGGGCTTGGTAGCATAACTTTCTATCATATAAGATTTTCTTTCTTTCTTTTTTTCATTCTTCTTAGCTGTAAGAGCTCTCTCAGTCCTAGTTTCTCTTATCTAGGTGACTGACTGGCACAGCAACTGATAGATGTGGATAATTAGATGTGGAAATACTATTCATAGAGGCCAGCTTTAGGGCAGTGACTATAGTGTCACATAGCAGGAAGTATACAGTATGTGCATCATGTATGTATGTATGTTACCTAAAGTCATGAGTAGCAGAACCAAGACTGAGACTAGTTCTTTCCAGGAATACCTCCTGGATGAGGCAGCCCCTCTGATGTGATGTGGATGAATGAGATAGAGTGGCAAAGCAGGGAGAAGGTGCATGGCAGCTAACATGGTGGCTCTCCTCACCAAACCTGGGTGTAGGTCTGTGGTGGAGGTTTTGTAATTCGAGCACACGCTAGGACTGAGGAGAAGTGGCTGTGGCTTGGTCTAGGACGTAAGGCTTCAGTTGCTGTTAGGTACCATTGAGTAGGAACCAATTTGTAGCTGACCCTACAGAGGTTTCAGAGGCAGTAAGTCACACAGGAGAAGATTGCCCATCTTTCTCCTGTGGGACAGGTGGTAGATTAGAACCCCTTGCCTTTGGATTGGCAGGGCATCTCTTTAGAAAAGTCCCGCTTCTGTTTTCTCCCAGACATAACCAGAAGCTTTTTTCTTCTTGGGTGAAGACAGAGCATCAGGACCAGCTCCCTCTCCTCTGCGCATTGGGGTCAGCTGATTCTCTCAGCAGAGGGATCAGCTAATTCTCAAAATAGGCCCAGCAGCCTCACTCTGCCCCCCCCAGCCAAGCCTGAGCATGGCATGTCCGCTGTCTCCTGGAGGGGCCCTAATTATAGCTGCCCCTCCCCTGCCCCCAGGATAGAGGCAGCTGGGCCAGAGCAGAGCCCTGCCAGTCTCTGGCAGTAGGAGACAGAGCCTCACTTAGGTGGCGATTCCCTGGAGGAGTGAGGGGCATCCGCAGAGGCCAACGGCTTTATCCCAAGTCTGTGGGCTTTGGGGTAACTGCACAGCCTCTATGCCTGCTGGCACCAAAGCCACAGGGCTGGGCAGGGTGGGACGGAGGACTTTGGCCCAGGGACAGCTGCCCTGAAAGGTACTGGGGGACCTCCCACTCCTTCCACTGCTCTCCTCTGCATTACCTGACCCCACCCTCAGCTCCTCACCCAGGCCTGGGAGGGAGTGGCTGGGTGTGGAGGGGCTGAGTAGCCAGCAGGAACATCTGGGCTGGCTAGGGTCAAGTGCTTTCCAGTCTCTCTGCCCTGCCAATTCACTTTCCCACTGCTCAGGGAATTGGACGAGTCCCCTTTCTGTATGCCTTTGGCCTTAGGAGGTTTTTGGGGCTAGGAGGAAAAGGGGGCAGGTGGGAAGCTGTGGGGGAGGGTAAATTGAGAGTGCTCTTCTGGGTGGCTCTCTGCTGGAAACGTAGGGGAGGGATGAGGACAGACAGACTGAAAGGAGGACAAAAGGCAGCTTCATGTACAGAAACCCTAAGTCAGGTCACGGAGCAGGGCTTACACCATGGGACGTGGAGTTAGTTAGCTGCACTCCTGGATGGCTCTGGCTAAGTGAGCTCTGTCCTGCTGTCATGGGCTGCCTCACCATGTGAAGGGGCTGACTCAGGGACCAGACTGCTGCTGGAGGACTCCAGGGAGCCTCTGCCTGCAGCTGGGAGCCTGGCCTGGTGCTGCTGGTTGCTTCCCTGGGACCCTCCAAGCAAGGGCTTTCAGCCTTCTCTTGATCCCCTGGGCCACATGTCCCCTGGAGCCCCAGGAGTGGTCCCTCCTGACTTGATTTCCTCTCCCTCTAGGATCTGCTTCCCTGTGCAGGTAAACCGGCTGCCTCGGGAGACCCTGCTGTGTGCCACCCTCTATGCTTTGCCTGTCCCCCCACCTGGGACCTCTTCTGACACCAACAAGCAACGGAGGGTCCCTGAAGCCCTTGGCTGGGTCACTACCCCACTCTTCAATTTCAGACAGTATGTGAACCCCCTGGGCAATGTCTCATCTGCTATGAAAGGGGGCACAAAGATAGAGAGAGGGATCTAGCACCCCTTAAGAGGGCTGATCATAGCCGGGGACACAGGAGCAGAGCCATGAGACCCAGCTCTGATTGGGGCTAAAGCACAGGACTAGTGATCAGGATTATTGGTGGAACCAAGGGCCACTGTGCAGGACGCTGACACAGGACTGATGGGGGAGGGAATGTGGAAAAGCAATACTCGGATAACAAGCCATCTGCTCTTGTCATTGGAAGGGCCTTAGAGGTCATCTAGCCCAGGCTCCTACCTCATGAAGGCATCCCTGACAGCAGACCGGGTGGCGATAGCTCAGGGAGGCTTCCTGCCCACCAGCCTGGCCAACTTTTGTGGAAGGAAACCGTGATGATCTGTGGGGAGGACCAAAGAGACGCGAGCTGGGTGGAGGCTTCAAACAGAACAGGCACATCTTTGAGTTGAAGGAGCAAGAGGGGAAATATCTGCTTAGCCAAGTTTCTTTTGTTGACTCATCCTACACTCTATCCTCCTTAGGGTGCTAACCTGTGGCCGGAAGCTTCTGGGCTTGTGGCCAGCCGCCCAGGAACACCCCAGCACCCGATGGAGTGCACCTAATTTTCACCAGCCAGACAGCGTCATTCTGCAGGTGAGACCCTGCTCTCATTCTTCCCTCACTCCCACCCACCAGAATCACTCCAGAAGTGCCAGGTTCCCCCTGTGGACGTTTAGGCTGGAACAGTAGGAGAACATGCCAGACATTTGGGCAGGTGATTGATGATGACGTGACTGAAGCAACTGAATGAGGATACTTAGACTCAAAAGGGGAAGGTGAGCTCTGTGGAATCTACCTCCCACCTCCTAGACGTTTAACTGCACGGAGCCTGAAGACAGGCTCCAAGATGTTCCCACGCAGGACTCAGCCAGCTTTCTGGAGTCCCGTGTTCTGAGCCATTTCGTGACTAAATTTGATCCAAGCTAAGCTGTCCTCTCGTGGAGTTTGAAGGAAGTCTTCACTCAGTTGACGCATTAATAAACCCATTTTCCTAGAATAAGAGAAGGAATTGGTTGGGGCCGAGGATTACCTGCACATTCTTGACTCCCCTTTCTTATGATGGTGAGATGCTTTGATGTGGAATATGGAGCAGCTTAGGTGAAACAGGACACAGAATATACAGAATGAAGCATATACTTCATATACTCTATGAAGCAAGCACTTTGTCTGTCTGATTTACTATTCAACGCTCGAGGCCTAACACAATGTCCTACACATATTAAGGTTCAATACATTTTGCTTCCAAAAAAAAAAAGTTGAAGAAGATAGCACATTTTGGTGAATTGGCTTGCTCAACTCTGATATCCATTTTAGAAGAATGAATAAACATCTGGTGGCCTAGAGAAATGGGACCCAGTATCATAGGCCTTAGAGTTGTGGGGTCAGTTCTCACTGGGCATGTTGTCCCACTTCTCATGTGGGTCACACTGAAGGTTCCCCCACCTCAGTTAGATGCTCTTGGCTGCTCAGGAGGGTGACTTTTGTGGGGGATGTTCTGGGTTGGGACTTGTCCCCTTACCTGTTCTCACTTGCCTGCTTTTTTATTTTTAATAACAAAAGAATTGCAGTAAAATGTGTGTGTTGTTGTTGTTGTGTACCAATGAGTCAGAAGTGACCCACAGCTGACCCTCCAGCGAGTTTTCAGAGGCAGTAAACCGCACAGGAGGAGATTGCCCATTTTTTCTCCTGTAGAGTAGCTGGTGGATTTGAACATACTCAAAAACTCACTGCTGTTGAGTTGGAACCGTGTCCTAGCTGACCCCCCAGTGGGTTTTTGGAGGCTGTAAATCTCACAGGAAGAGCCTGCCCATTTTTCTCCTACAGAACTGCTGGTCAATCCAAACTGCCAGAGAGGTGCCACGTTTGGGTTAGTGGTGCAACTCTCTACTAACTACGACCAGAGCTCCCCTACAGAACATAAGATATGCTATTTTAACTGCTTTTGAGCATACACTTTTGTGGCATTAATATGACCAAGTGGTAAGAAGCTGCGCTACAGACCCAAAGGACCTGGGTTCAAATCCACCACTGCTCTGCTGGAGAAGGATGGGCTGTGTCCTCTCTATGCAATTAACGGCCTCTGGAAACCCGCTGGAAGGTCAAGTCTGGTCTGACTCAACATTCCACAACAGCAGCAGTGAAATTCCCAGTGTTATGCGATCGTCCCCACTATGTACCTCCAAAACATTTTTTATCACCTCAAATGGAAACTCTTTGAGTTTATGTGAATTATTAGGTTACATGAATTAATAACTATCCCCTCACCCCGTTGTTGAGTTGGCTTCAACTCATAGAGGCCCTGTGTCCAGCAGAATGAAACACTGCTCGATCACGGGCCATCTTCACAGTGGTGGCCGTGATTGAGCCACCATGTGGATCCCTTTCACTGAGTGTCTTCTATTTTTCGATGACTCTCTGTTTTACCAAGCATGATGCCTTTCTTTGAGAACTTATTTCTAATCCTCTCTCTGTCTCTATGCATTTGCCCATTCTGAAGATTTCATCTAAGTAGAATAATAACAATATGTGTCCTTGTGGGTCTGATTTATTTCAGCATAATGAATTCCAGATTTGCCTATGTCCCAGCACATCTCAGAAGTTGGTTTTTCTTTGTGGTTGGATGATATTTCCTTGTACCACATATGGACCACCTTTGTTTAGCCACCCATCCACTTAAAGTTGCTCCAAATTCTGGCCATTGTAACTAGGTTGCAGGGAGCATTGATGTCTGTCTGGGTCTTGGGTTTTTAAGTCTTTGGGTAGACACCTAGGAGTGGAATTGCTGGGTTGACTTGCCAGTTTTCTATCTTTCTCTCCTCTTCCTATTTTTTCCCCCTTCTGGTAGTTAAGCAGGAAGAGATTTTCAAGCTCCTAAGTCCAACTGTATTATTTTGTAGACAAAGAACCTGAGAGAAGAGAGAGGGAGTAGGCAGGAATGCTGGGGTTGAGGGGCAGAGAGACCCTAGAAGCCCCAGACGTGAGGCTGTCCACATTCACACTTCTTATTGTGTGCTCAGTCAGAATTGACTCATAGCTAACCCTCCTGCAGGTAAGTTGCACAGGAGAAGATAGCCCGTCTTTCCCCTGCAAAGCAGCTGATGGATCCAAACTGCATGCCTTTGAGTTGACAGTGCAGCTCCTTTCCTCGAGGCCACCAGGGCTTCCTGTACTCACACTGGCTATTTCTTATTTCTCCTCTCCTCTGACTCCATTCACTAGATTGACTTCCCTACCTCAGCTTTTGACATCAAGTTCACCAGCCCCCCTGGAGACGAGTTCAGCCCCTGCTATGAGTTCAGCAGCCTCCGGGAGGAAGATCAAGGCAAGCTTAAAGACATCATGCAGAAGGAGTCCCTGTACTGGTGAGGCCCAGGGCGTCCCCCATGCACGGCTCAGCTCCCCACCAAGTCTGTCACTTTTGATCTGATGTTCTCTTCTGCCTTGAGAGTGGACGTGGGGCAGAGTGGATAGAGGCACTCCAGGCAGGAAGTGATGGACACAGGGATCTCCAGAGGCCAGCCCCCATTGCACTTCCCATAGACTGATACTAGGACTACCACAGTGGGATTAAATGTGACCCCTTCTTGCACAGAATGCTTGGCCCAGGCTAGAGCTTTGTCACCGTCCTAAGAGACTGTCTGGTTTACTGTCTGTCCACTGAGGCAGCTGGCTGCTGTCCTCAGCACCCTTCCCCCTCTGCCTGCCTAGTCCACACCCACAGTCTTTGCATTACTCTGGCCCAGACACTTTCCAAAAAGGATCAGGTGTCAAAGCAAGCTGGCAGCTCTCAGGGGTGAACTCGGCCAGGCTGATGTCATCGGGAAGATGGGTGGGAACAGAGCTGGATTTGCTGTTGGGATCTTGGCTGTGGGCTCCTCCCTGCTCTCTCTGCACTTCTCCCTGCCTCATGCTGATCCTGTGCATGTGTTAGTTGGGAAGACGGGAGAGCAGGGACGTATCTCTCTCCATCCTGTCTCACCAGGGCAGCCAGAGAGAGCAGCTGCAGGCCTTCCTGCCCCCACTCCTCTGTTGACCCCTCACTTCATTAGCCCCCTGGCTGCCTTCTCCCATTAGACACCTGATCTCCAGCAAGGTCCAATTAGCTGCAGGTCCCATTAAACCGCCAGCTGTCTCCCCCCAGCCAGAAGGCCCCAGGAGGCCTCTCAGCTGCCTAGACCCTGACTTGTGGGAACCACTGCCCTCTGGTGGTTCTTTCGAGGAGTGGGACCCTGGCATACTGAGAAGAGAACAAACTTGGTCCCCCAGGCCTGTGTTCTGCTTCACTTTGAGATGTCCCCGAGTTGGAATTAAAGGTGAAATTTCAGTCCAGGTTCCCAAACGTGACTGCAAATTGGAATTACCTGAAGATCTTTTTAAACTCCTGATACTTGGCTCCTGTCTCCATTTTTATTTACTTAACACTTAAGGTGGAACCTGGACATCGGAATAATATTCTAAAGTAAATTTCTAAAGTTATTTTCATTCTATTTTGGAAAAACTATATATAACAAAGCATATACCACCTGAACACTTTGTACATGTACAGTTCAGTAATAATGATTCTGTTCTCTGAGTTGTATGTTTTATTCAAGTACATTTTAGTAATTCTCACCAAATTATTCCCCCACAATTAATATGTAACTTCACTATCCCCTGACCTAAGCTTAGTAATCACTAAGGATCTTTGTTGTTGTTGTAATGTGCCATCGAGTCGCTTGTGACTCACAGCAACCCTATATGCACAATAGCTCCTGAACCCTGCTCTCTCCTGAGCAATTTCACTGTCTCCAACACACCTACCCTCCCTACTCCAGTTATTGTGTCAATTCATTTCTTCATACTTGTCCTTTGCAGTATATATTTGCAAGTATTTGACCTTTTGCAACCGATTACTCTCACTCAGCATAACATTTTTCAGGTTCTCCTTTTTATATCTAAATGTTAGATATTCCTCACTTTGTTTATCTGATCATCTGTTGATGGGCATTTTGGTTGTTGCTATTTCTTGGCTCTTGTGAAAAGTGCTGCAGTGAACATTGGCGGACAAGTTTCTGTTTTCAGTCTCTTCTGGGTGTGTATATACCTGGGAACTGCTGGGTCATATAATAATTTCTGTGCTCAGTTTTTTTGAGGAGCTGCAGGGCTATTTTCTACAGTGGTTGCACCATTTTTACATTCGAGCATGAGGATTTTCCCGAGCTCCCTAGGTGATGCTAATCGGTGGCGGAATTGGGGATCCACTCTGCTGCCTTGTGTATAGTTGTGGATGGTTTACCTTGAAGTAACGCTAGCCCTTGGGCGGATTCTCCTGGCCCGCCCCGCAGGCTCAGTGATGCTGACAAGAAGCAGCTGTGGGAGAAGCGCTACTATTGCCACTCGGAGGTGAGCTCCCTCCCGTTGGTGCTCGCCAGCGCCCCCAGCTGGGAGTGGGCGTGCCTTCCCGACATCTATGCGCTTTTGAAGCAGTGGACCCACATGAACCACCAGGATGCCCTGGGACTGCTGCATGCCACGTGAGTGACACCCACCTTTCCTTCCCCGCATGCCCTTCCAGAAGACTGATACTGACCCGACCTGTCCTGAGGGAAAAGGTGCACTGGGCCAGGGCCTCCAGGCTGCTTCCCCCTCTTCTCACTTTTCTTGATCTCATTCCCCTCACCTCTCGTTATATTCAGAACAGTGTTCAAATACAGGACTGAAAGGGGCACATAGTAAATACTGCTAGTCTATCACCTCATGCTGTATTTGCTTTATGGCAATCTGTCCCTTTGTCCATTCATTGAACTGTTTTTAAAAAATAATTTTGATGATAACAGTCCAGAATAAGAGGTGCATAGCTAAGTGGAATCGGGGGTGGGTGGGAGGAGGGAGGAAATTGTGCACCAATGAAAGAATCTTTTCAAAGAGAAAAGTGACTAGGCAGAAAGGGGTAGAGAGGAAAATGTGCAGCAATGAATGAATGGAAATCCAAGTTTTCTGTAAACTTTAATTAAACTATTAATTAAAAAAAATTTTTAAAAAAGGATCCCACCAGCCATTGTAAAAACAAGACGTGGACCAGGAACGCCTTGTATCTCTTTGTCTTGCTTTGCAATGTGTTTCCTTTAATAAACCTCTTTTTTGTCTTGCATAAATAAAAAAAAATTGAAGTATTTACTAGATGCTATTAAATTCCCTCACAGATATTTTAACATGCTTCTCATTAACCACCCAAACAGAATTCACTACCATCTAGTTAATTCCAACTCATGAAGACACACACACACACACACACACACACACAACACACCCAAATCAGGTTTCTCAGGCTTTGAATGTTTTTGTTGTTATTGTGGGGTTTTTTTTAATTATATTTTATTATTTTTGTCTGTGTACCGTCAAATCAGATTTGACCAGTACAGGAGGAGATTGTCCCTCCTTCTCCAGGAGAGGATCTGGTGAATTTGAACTGCACACCTCTGGGATTGCAGTGCAGCTTCCTGCCACTAGGCCACCAGAGCTCCCTTCAGGCTATAAATATTGACAGGAGCCCTTTCTTTCACTAAGCACCTGGTGGATCCAAACTGCTGACCTTTTGTTTTGATTTTTAGGGCTGACCTTTTGGTTAGCAGCATGATAACGTTATGCAGTTCACCACCAGGACACCTTTACTACAATTTAATATTCTTACTGAGTTTTAACAAATGCATACACCCATGTAGGGAGCGCTGGTGGCTGGCTTAGTGGTAAGAAGTGACACTGCAGTCTTGAAGGCAAGCTGTTCAAACCTACCAGCTGCTCCGTGGGAGAAGGATGGGCAGTCTCCTCCCATGTGATTAACTAACACTGAAAACCTGCCTTAGGGTCAGCTGTGAGTCAATTCTGACCCGATGGTACATAACAACCACATACCTGTGTAGCCCAAACTCTATTCCTTGGTTCATATCATAGCAGTCCTATTTCCCTCCTTCCCCTGAAGGATTCTGAGACAAAAAGCTCCTGGTCCCAGACCCCCACTACTTAGTCTTCCTGCCTGGTTTCTCTCTATTCTCAGTTATTAAAATTTACCCAATCCATCTGTGTTCCAAGAGGTCATTCCTTGGAAAAAGACATCATACTTGGGAAGGTGGAGGGTCTGTAAAGGAGAGGAAGCTCCTCAACGAGATGGATTAACACAGTGTCGCAGCAGTGGGCTTCAGTCTATCAGAGATGATGAGGATGGCACAGGCGAGGACAAGGTTCAGATTCTTGTTCACAGGGGTTTCTGTAAGATGTCACCTTAAATGGCACCTAACAATAATGTATTGGGGAATTTTTGTTCTTTTTTCTTTTTAATTATTAAATTTTATTAATTTTAATGAACATTTACAGAGATTTTGGGTTTTCATTCATTCATTGTTGCACTATTTTCTCTACCCTCCTCCCCAGTTTGTTCTTCTTCCCCCCTTGAAAGTCTGTTTTAATTGTCCATTTGCCACAGTGCTTGTCAAAGCCAGTTCTGATTAATCTCTTTTGTCAGTGTGTCCTTTGCCATTGTATTGGAGAATTTTTGACACAACACACTTGCTAATTTCTGCCAGAGAATTTTAGCCAAGGTGTCCTGGCTTGTCTAAAATGCCATCATTCCATTATTTGCATTTAGGGCTTTGCATTTAAGGATAATACTGAGATACCAATCTTGGTAACCCATGTCAAAGTTCTTTAGTGATGAAAATTTCCAGCCTACTGGTGCACAAGGAAGAGAACTCTATGAGTAGGGCTGGGCTGAGAGCTTTTCTGGTTTCCTGTAAATCACACAAGGAATGAGCATGGTCACCCTCCTGTGCCTCCCTCTACAGTCTGAGGGGCACCCTGATCCTGAGGTGGGTGGATTCTTGGGAAGCTTGCCCTTCCCTCATCCGGGCCTTTCCACCCTCAGAAGCCAGGTAGTGGTGGGGTTTGGCGGCAAAGCCTGAGCCTTGGAGCCCATGGCTGGGTGTCAGGCTCTGGGATCTGTTTTACAGCTTCCCAGACCAAGAGGTGCGGCGCATGGCTGTCCAGTGGATCAGCTCTCTCTCAGACGCCGAGCTGCTGGACTACTTGCCCCAACTGGTGCAGGTGGGTGGACTGGCCTGCCCTCCAGTTCTTGTGGTCCGAGCCCTAGACCCCCTAGCCAGCCTGTGCTCTGCTCCTGAGAAACCCAGGTCCCAGTGGCCTAGTGGTCAGTGTAGATCATGGGCATTAACAAGGACCCTTCTTCTCTTACCTATCGCTTGCCAGGCCCTGAAGTACGAATGCTACCTGGACAGCCACCTGGTGCGCTTCCTCCTAAAACGAGCCGTCTCGGACTTGAGAGTGACTCACTACTTCTTCTGGTAAAGCCGTGCGCGAGCGTGGGAGGGGATGTGTGGTCGTCACCGTGTTTTACTCCAATGTCTACAAGGGCGAGGGCTGAGGGTTCCACAATGCTGCTGACTTGCTCTGGCATCTTGAGCTGGCTTCTCCTGCATGTTCCCCCCAGCATGATGCTGTGAGAGTCAGCCTGGTGCCTCCTGCCTCTGCACTTATGGCAGACATATAAAGGGGCTAACTGGGTGTGAGGTGCTTTGAGCTCTCTACTTAGAGTGGACACAGATGTGCACCCCTGTATAGATAGCATGTTGCTGAGATTAGGTGCTATTAAGCTGATTCCAGCTCATAATGACCCCGTGTGATGGAGTACAGCTACCCCAGAGGATTTTTCTATAGGGTAGATGACCTTTATGGAGTACATTGCTGTGTCTTTCTTCTTCTTTTTTTTTTTTAAATTTGTGTGTGTGTGTGTGTGTGTGTGTGTGTGTGTACCGTCAAAACTAACTGGTACAGGAGGAGATTGCCCCTCTTTCTCCAGCAGAGCATCTGGTGCATTTGAACCACATATCTCAGGGATTGCTGTACAGCGTCTTGCCACCAGAGTTCCTTTCCATGTCTTTCTTCTAAAGAACCACTGGCTGGTTAAAACCACCCCCTTAGCATTTAATGCAAAAGAGCCCTGGCAATGAAGTAGGTGAAACACTTTAGACATTAACCTCCAGTCTGGTGACTCGAACCCACCGGCTCCTGCATAGGAGAAAGATGCAGCAGTCCACTTTCATAAAGATTTGCCATCGTGGAAACCCTACAGGGTGGTTCTACCCTGTCCTATATTATTGTGATGTTGTGTGCCATCGAGTAAAACCTGACACATAGCTGACCCTCCAGAGGATTTCCAGAGGCTGTAAATCACACGAGAGGAGACTGCGCAGCTTTCTCACCTGGAGAGGCTAGTGGATTGGAACCGCCTGCCTTTGGGTTGCTAGTGCAGCTCCTTGTTCACGAGACCACCAGAGCTCCCTACCTTGTCCTATACAGTTGGTTAATATATTTTCCCTCTCCGTTTTGGGGTGGGTTTTTCTGTGTGTTGGACTTAGGTCTGGCCCCCTCATCCCACCTTGCCTGTGATCCTTCAGGGTCCTGACTCCCCACGCCCCTCTGCTTCGTAGGTTGCTGAAGGATGGCCTCAAAGACTCTCAGTTCAGCATCCGCTACCAGTATCTGCTGGCAGCTCTGTTGTGCTGCTGTGGCAAAGGGCTGAGAGAGGAGTTTAACCGCCAGTGCTGGCTCGTCAGCACCCTGGCCAAGCTGGCTGCGCAGGTCCGGGAGGCTGCCCCATCTGCCCGGCAGGTGAGTGGGAAGGGACTCTGTCCATTTCTAGCCCAGAGCTGCTGCAACCTCTCATGGCATTAACCTGTCAAGCATCCTGGCTAGCAGGGGTGACGGGAATCACCTCTCTTTTAGAGCTGGAAGAAAGTTGCTTTAGCTCTAAACAAGCCATAAGACTACCATCTGCAAGCTGCATGCATATAGCCTGTGGGTGTGTTTTGTTTGGCTAACAAACAATTGGTGTTTTTATCTGTTTGCTGGGAAGGTTCAGCACAGTAGTGTAAGTTGTTCACTGCACAAGAGCCCCCAGGCAAAGGGAACCAGTGAGGGCTAAAATCCGCCAGACTTTGTTCACAAGGTTGCAATCCATGACTCAGGACTGCCGCCACCCAAGGCCAACACATTTATCTGTCTATGGCAGGGGATGTCAGTGGGCCAGCAGTGTTCCTGGTTGTTAGTGTTGAAGAATTGTGCAATTCCATGATAAAGTTAGATTGTTGACTTCTCTGGCAACAGCCTGAGGAATGGCTACCCGCCTCTAGCCCTTTAGATACAGGCTGTTCCATGCTGTTCTGCCACCTGTCAAGCCACTATCAGTGCCTTTGCCTGTGCCCAGCTGGTTTATAGGTCAGCGACCTCCTGAATGTGGCCCCCCTTCTCAGGTGTTTGATTTCATACCACTTACCACTGGGTGCCTACTCCTGGAGGAGGCCTGGTTTGAGTGGAGCTGATAGGTCCCCACGTCAGCCTCTTATCTTTTTCCTTTCAGGGGATCCTCCGCACAGGCTTGGAGGATGTGAAGCAGTTTTTTGCTCTCAATGGTTCCTGTCGCCTTCCACTCAGCCCTAGCCTGCTGGTCAAGGGCATCGTGCCCAGGGTGAGTGACCGGTGGACCAGGCTTTCTCTGTTGCGGAGGTGTGACCTTGACTGACATGCCAGTGAGTTTGGAGACATAGGAAGAAAAGACTTATCTGTGGTTTTCTCCTGTCCCAGTGGGTGGACTTTAGCCCACCAGCTGTGCAGGGGGCAGGGCTTGGGGCAGGGCTGTGTAAGTGTCTCCCTGAGGATGGCAATGAACTCAGGAGCTCCTGGCATCTGTCATTTACTGAGCACATCCTCTGTGCCTGCCACTCCTCTAAGTTCTTTCTGTAGGTTATCTCACTTCATCTTTGCACTGTAGTCAGTATTAATTGTGAGACCATTTTACAGAGGTGTAAGCTGAAGCCTTAGGTAGGCCACGTGACATACCCAAAGGCAAGGAACTAATAAGTTGCATGCAGTGTGGTTTGGAGAGCCTAGAGATCAGAGTTAATGTCTTAATAAACTGAGCCCCAGGGTGCTTGTAAGGGAGGAGAAGAGGTGGGTGCCTGAAAACCATGAGCAAATGAGCAGGTCTGGGTGAACCAGCCTCAAAAGGTGCCCAACATCTCACGGTCATTTTCCTCACTGACTCCTGTCATCACCCTCTTTGCCATGGCAGGACTGTTCCTATTTCAATTCCAATGCTGTCCCCCTCAAGCTCTCCTTCCAAAATGTGGACCCGCTGGGTGAGAACATCCGCGTCATCTTCAAGGTGAGAGTCCTCCACGTAAGAGTGGGGGATGAAGGCGGGAGAGGAAAGGAGAGAAGGTAGCAGAGGGTGGCAGGAGCAGCTCTGAGCTGTTTTCTTCCCATGATTCCTTGCTGCCCTCTATGGAAGACCATCAGATGAGAAAGCAAATGCCTAATTCCAGTAGCTCCAGAGGGTTAAAAAGAGTGTTAGGAGATTAAAGAAGGCAACCGGCAGTTCAGCCTACAGAAACGCTTTCTAGACAGTAGAGCTGAAATGGATAGAGTCGTGCATCTGCTTATCCCCAGGAGGATCAATGACCCCGTTAATATTGAAAGGGAAGCAGATATATCAGGTGCTGATCGATCAGTAAACCCTACGCTTGCTTCTGATTCCAGTGAATCCGTGATTCTGAGAAGTAAATGATCGCTTCAGAACATATAATTCAGTGGGGGAGACAAAAGGCATGTCCATGATTTTGTAACTTAAGCCATCATTTTTTTTTCTGTGTTTGAGTTGCAAATTGGGAGAAAGGGCAGGTGGGGGAGGCCCAGTGGCCCTGGAGGGCTGCATGAGGAAGAGGACCTGTTAAAAAACTTGTTGCTACTGAGTTAACTCATAATGACCCCAGGGACACAGCAGCACTGGCCCCTAGGGTTTCCAAGTCCGTAAACCTTTATGCATGCAGATTACCATGCAAGGAATAGCTGGTGGTTTTGAACTATTGACTTTTGGTTAGCATCTGAGGGATTTAACCACTACACTACCAGGGCTTCTTAGAAGGGAACTTGACTCCAGTTCTGGTGGGGGGTAGCATGGAGAGGAGGGTGGGATACCGGGCACTCTGTGAAGGTATTTGAACTGCTGCTTTGACTAGGTGTGAATAGAGTGATCAGGTCAAGGTGGGAGGACAGGGCAGCCCCTCTCATTACTGTCCTTAGGACGCTGGGAGAACCACCGGCTGGGAGGAGGACTGTGGTGGGGAGGGGTGCTGACCTGTCCAACCCTGAGCTTATGCTCTTCTGCATCCAGTGCGGGGATGACCTTCGCCAGGACATGCTGACACTACAGATGATTCGCATCATGAGCAAGATCTGGGTCCAGGAAGGGCTGGACATGCGCATGGTCATATTCCGCTGCTTCTCCACTGGCCGGGGCAGAGGTCAGTCAGGAATAGGGGGTGAATAAGCAGGTGGTGGAGAGGGGACCCTTTGCCCACTCCCCAGCATGAACGCTGAACACCTCCCGGAAGATGGAAAGGAGATGGTGACGTTAGAGGCTGTTAAATAATGTGAAAAAGAAGGCAGGAAGAAAGATTTATAACAGTGTTGGGAACACCATAACCAAATCTATTACATAAACTTTGGCTTCTGTTTCCAACAAACTTTAAAAATATATTTTTTTTAGACAGCTTGGGAATTTGAATGTGAACTCGGGATTAGATCATTAGATCATACTCAGGAATGCATGCTAATATTTTCTTATGATAATAGCATGATGTATGTCTGTGCTTGTTATAGACTTGAAGTATTTATGAGTGAAATGATATGCCTGGAATTTGCTTAAATATATTCAAGTTCAGAAGACGCGGGGGAGAGGAAAGCAGGGATGAGGGATGAACAAAATTAGCAAAATGTTGATAACTTTTGAAGGTGGGGAATGATTGCATATGAATTCATGGTTCCATTTTTTAAATTGTTATATAGATTTGAAATTTTCCATTATAACATGTGCAAATATAAAAGGAATGACTGCTGGGAAACCAACATGTCACGGGATGGGATATGAACCTCAGGGAATGAACTTCCACCATTATCCTTATCCTTTTCCTCAGACTTTGCCCAGCTGCCCTCTAGCTTAATTTCTAGGGACTCATCCCTCGAGCCTCTCCCGCAGCCTGAGTCCTGAGCTCTGGAGGTGACCTGATTTCCTCCTCTCTCAGGGATGGTGGAGATGATCCCCAATGCCGAGACCCTACGCAAGATCCAGGTGGAGCATGGGGTGACCGGCTCCTTCAAGGACCGGCCTCTGGCCGACTGGCTGCAGAAACACAACCCCGGGGAGGATGAGTATGAGAAGGTAGGTTCTGGGAGCTGTGGCACCGTGGGCTTGGCAGGCACCGAGCTGCTTTTGTGCCTTTCCAAGGTCCTGTCCCAGAAATTCTACAAGTGGGTAGCTTTGAAATATGGAAGTTAGGAAGCTATTGAAACTGTCAGTTGATATCAGCTCAGAATTGACCCACAGCATTCAAACAGAAAGGTCTGTGGGTCTAAGAAAGATGGACAAATGCCTCTTAAAGATTTACTTACAGCCTTGGAAACCCAAGGGAGGGTCTTTATGAGTTGGAACTGACAGCAGTGGGTTTAATCTTTATGGAAGCAGACTCTCACATCTTTTTCTCCCAGAGGTGCTGCTGGGTTCAAACTGCCCACCTGATGGTTAGCTACCAAGCACTTTGACTACTGTGGCAGCAGCATACCTCATAGGAGGTTGCTGGTGTTGTTAGGTGCCATTGAATCGACTACAACTCAGCAATCTTGTGAACAACAGATCTGAACCCTGCTCTATTCTTCTCCATTCTCATGATCTCTAATATGTCCATGTGTGTGATGTTGTGTTGTTGTGTGCTATGAAGTCGGAATTGACTCATAGCTGAGCCTCTGAGGGGTTTTCAGAGGCAGTTTAATCATAAAGGAGGAGATTTCCCATCCTTTGCAGAGCAGTTAGTGGATTCCAACCTAGTGCCTTGGGATTGCAGTGCAGCTTCTTGCCACTAGGCCACTACTGCTCCCTGTTCGAGCCCGTGTTGTTGTTTACTGGTGAATCAGAACTGAGCCACGGCTGACCTTCCGGTGGGAGATTGTCCATCTTTTTCCCATGGAGCAGCTGGTGGCCTCCAACTGTGTGCCTGCGGGATTGCAGCACAGCTTCTTGCCACTAGACCACCGCTAGGTTCCCTGCTCTAACCCATAGGAGTCCCAGTTCAGGGCCCAGGCTCCAGGGGGCGCTCTCCCTCTGTACACGGGAGGCTGATCCTTGTCTCCTTTAGCGTCTGTAGCTCTAGATTCCTCACTTCCTGGGTGATCTTCACATTGCCTCTATCTTTTCCCATTTTTTGCTTCTTTTATGTCTAACCTGCTCTTTTTAATGTCTTAAAAGTATCAAGTTTAGGACGCACTTTACATTGACATGACTTCCTTAACATAACAAATTTAGTTCCTCTGGCAGACAGAATATTTCGTTTGTTTTTGCAGAGTAATATGCACAGCCCGGTCCTGCTTTTAGGCAAATAGCTTTTTGATATTGATATACCCTAAGTTACCTTGTGTACTATGATAAAGCAGAACTGGCCTTAAAAGCTTTTTGGCTTTTTAGAGGGTTTTTTTTCCCTTGTGTGGTTTTTGGTTTTTTGTGTTTTGTTTTTTTTTAATTTATTATTAATTTCAATGAAAATTTAGAGAGACTTTGGATTTCCATTCATTCATTGTTGCACTTTTCTCACCTCCCAACCCTCCCCGCCCAGTACACTACCCTCTTGAAAAAGTAAAAGAAAAATTCTTTCATTGTTTTACAATCCTTCCTCCCAGGTCCTCTCCACTATGCAGCCTTCGCTCTGGACTCCTGTCATGACAAAAATACCTCATCACATATCCCTTTTAAACAGTTTTCTCCCTCATCTGTTTGAATGCAGTATGCACTATTGAACTCATCTTTCTTAGTCTCCCCCCAACCCTGAGGTCAGTCCTGTTTTACAACAGTGGTACCATGCAGTATTTGTCCTTTTGTGACTGAGATATTCACTCAGCATAATGTCCTCCAGAGTCACCCATTTTGAATAATATTGCATGAGTTCCTTGTTGGCTTTTTAGAGTTTTAAAAATAATTTTCAAATTGTGATTTGAATGCAGATTCACAAAGAAAACCAATTTTTTGTTCAAGCATTCATACACATTTTGTTCTAGAACTTTCATTTCAGCACCCACAATGTAGTCACCCTTTCCCCACTTCCTTCCTGTAATTCTGATTCCCATGGATCTTTCTGGCTCCCTCTTGTCTTTCCCTTTCTTAATGATAACATTCTGATCTCCTCATTGGAGATTTGTCTCTCCTTTTCCTGCCCGTTGGACTTTCTTGGCTGTAGTTTTTATGGAAGCAGATCATGAGGTTGGTTTCCTCCTCAGCTCTGCTGGTGGATTCCAACTGCCAAGCTTGCCATTACTAGACAAGTACAGTGGCATCACTGAGGAGTGCCCAGGGACTGGACTGTCACAGGGTCATACTAAAATGACCTCAGGGTCTGCACTGGGGGTCGTGGCTGTCTGGTATTGCAGGAGGATGGCTGCCAAGGTGGTGGTGTCATTAACTTACCACCACTATGACCACCACACCCAGTTCAGTCACTGAACTCAAATTCTCCATACTCAGCATTCAGGGTTCAGGTGGGTGGGTGTCTTGACCAGTGTGAGAGGGGAGGAGTTGCTGTGGGGAACCCTGGAAGGGTAGGGTTTCGTTGCATGGCCTTGACCCCAATCCCAGTAACACTACTGCCTGAGTGTGAACGTTTTGCAACATCCGGGGTCCTTCATGGCAAAGAGAGTGTGAGGGGTGTGAGGTCAGCTTTTGGGAACCGACCTGTGTCTCTCCTACTTATGTATCCCTTCAATTCCTGTTGAGCTCTCATAGATGTTTCATGGTTCACTTTGAAGAAGCATTTATTGGAAGAGACATTAGAGATCATTTTCGTTCAACCCCTTTTTTCATCGATGCGATTTAGGATTCACTTAGTTGTTCCTCTTTATTGAGCAGGTTTGTGACAAGGCTGTAACTCACAGCCAGGGGTTATTGAAAAAGGAGCTGGATGGTTCCTGGGAGGGACCTCACTGGGTGATGGCACCCCTGTGGGTTGCTATGGCGGAGCCCTGGTCCACTGCACTGATCCCTGGGATAATTTGGTGTAAGGGAAGGAGGGGCAAGAGGAACGAGTTACAATAACCAAACTCACAAGAGACTAAGCATAAGCCAGAATGCTAATTTGTGTACATTTAATTTCCACTGGGGATCCAAATACTAATTTAAATGGACTGGATGCATCTTATCCCTGAGAAATAAGATAGGAAGCCAGGTGATGGTTGGAATGTTGTTTAGTCACCCTGTAATTAGGGGGTCTTAAATGATCTTAAATGTTGAGGTGCCTCAGGGTTTAATCCCTAGCCTGCTGTGCTCTGTCCTTGCCTTCTTCCTGTGCCAGCTCATCCTCTCATTACTCTAACCACCACCCATGTGCTGATGGGTCAGACTTCGCCTGGCTGCCTTCCCTTCCTCGTGCTTTATACTCTGGGGCTACGCAGTTCCCTCTTAACTGTGTCTCGCCTCTACCTCAGACTCCCTGTAGACAAAGCCAAGCCTTCTGTGTCTCTTCCACATCTTGAGCCGTGCTTTTTTGTGTGTTTTCTATCATGAAATGGCAAGATGCTCTCCACCCAGTCACTCAAGCTGTAGACCCAGGAGCTTGCTCTCTGCTGCGCTCGGCCTTGCCTTTGCCATGCCCTGCTGATTCCTATTCCCAACTATCTCCCAGCTCTCCTTTCCTTTCCATTTTCTTCCTAATGCTTCAGTTCAGCCATTTGCCTTCCGTCAATTAAACTGATGGCATGGCCTTACCTTGTCCCGTCTCCTTCCATCTCATCCGTGATTGATTAATTGATTTCCTGAGGGTTTATTTTTTGGGTTTGTTTTTTTTTTTTTAAGTGCACACCAGCTCATGGAATGCCTTTGCTCTGAGTACTTCAATGGCTTCCTATGTCCTGGCTTCAAACCTCATCACCATTGAGTGGGAATCCACACATAGCTGAGGGGGAGGGTGTAACTTGCTCATCTGTCTTTGGTGAATCCGAGCTGCCAGAGAGGCATGCCTTTGGTTTAGCCACACAACTGTCCTCTAGGGCACGAGAGGTCCCTGTATCCTAAAGGTAAGCCCAGCCTCCTTAGTACTGAATGCACAACCCTTCATAACCCAGCCTGGTCCACCTCTGCAGTGTTAAGCACTGCCCTTCCCCACCTTATGCTAATTTAATTCCCTGTGTTAACAGCACAAAGTCCTTAGATAATGGTGTCTTCTTACCCGGCCTTTAAACCTACTCTTTTTTTATCTACCCAATGCGGATTTGGTTTCTCTGTATGTGTTCTTATGCCTTACATAATGTAGGTTCCACTGGTTGTTGATAAATGCCATTGAGTTGCCTGTGACTCATAGCGACCCTGTTATGTACAGCAGCTCTGAAGCCTGCCCTGTCCTGAGCCAGTCTCACTGACTCCAGCACACGTCCCCCATTGCCCCAGTTATTGTATCAATCCTTCTCATTCAGGGTCTTCCTCTCCTGCGCTGTTTCTCCACACTTCTGAGCATGATGTCTTTTTCCAAGGATTGCACCCTCCTAGTCACGTGCCCAAAGTATGTAACACAGAGAGTTTAAAAAATCTAACCTTTAAGGGGAAACTTGATTTCATCCTCTCTAAGACAGGTCTGTTTGTTCTCCTGGCAGTCCATGGTATGTTCCAATGGTAGAGAGTGGTAGTAACTGGAGCCGCTAGCGCAGTGCTGCTCTGTGGTGGGTATTCCATGCCTGCAAAACACATTGCAGGTCAAGAATATGTAGGGATGAGGAGGAAGAACCGATGTTACTTTTAAGAATCAGAGGTGAGCTTTTTGTGCAAGGAGGTTCCACTGCATATGCTGGCATACAGAAAACCCCCACAACCATCACCTCAGGGAAAAATGTACGTAGAATAATGGAAAGAACTGAGTTAAGATCATCACATTATCTGCCAGCTGTAATTGGGGGCAAATCAGTTTACTGTGCGATGAGCAGATTAACCAGTTGCTAAGGCTCTGCTTAATACCTGTGTTGGAAGGATGGCTGCTTCTGCTTCAAAATGCTAGTGACTCCTTATAGTGGCTTCCAGGGGAAAAGAACCAGAAACCTTGTCTCTTGTCCAGCGGCCCCCCAAAGAAATCCCCGTGTCCTACACGTTGTTGTTGTTGTAGTTATGTGCCATTGAGTTGCTTGCAACTCATAGCGACTTTATGTTATGCCATTCTACCCTGGGCCAACCTAGCCATCTCAAACACCCTCATTCCCACTGCTCCACTCACTGAATCGATCCATCTCATCGAGGGTCTTCCTCTCTTGCGCCGCCCCTCCACTCTCCCAAACATGATGTCCCTCTCCCTCTCCAAGGACCAGTCCCTCCTTGCAACATGCCCAAAGTATGTCAGGCGAAGCTTCAGAATCCTTGACTCCAAGAAACATTCTGGCTTCACCCTTTCCAGGACGAACCTGTTTGTTCTCCTAGCAGTCCATGGTATATTCAACGCTCTTCTCCAGCACCACAGCTCAAAGGCATCAATTCTCTTTCTATCATCCCTATTCACTGTCCAG